CTCATGCATGCATCAAACGCGCAAGCGTAAGTTTGTGGCTTTGGGGTGCGGATTATAGATCATTTTGGATAATGGACGTCCGGATTACGGACTTTGTACTGTATTGCAGATGCTAACAGAACCAAACAAACAAAACAAAAGGAAAAAAAAAAATTCTTTGTAGCAAAATTGTTAACGATATTGTTTCTCCAAAACTTTTATGCAAATGTGTATTTTTTTCATGAATGATGAAAAATAAGTTAACAGTTTTCCGAGCAGATGCTCCATATTATACAGATTTGAAGATTAAGTAATGAAAAGATAAACTCTTATTTCTGATTATGTACTGAGCGCCGCCTGAGATAACCACTGACCTAACTTTGTTGTAAAAGTCTTACTGATTATGTACTGAAAAAGTTCCTCTATGCATTACAATATTAACCAATTGAGCAAAATTTGCGTTATACAATAAAATAAGTTTAAAAATAATGAATGCAATATCATCCACATTTTGGACTACTACAAATTTTATTAAAAATCATCTTACTTTTCGAAAAAGTGCTTCAGACCGCAGACGAAGTTATTTAAATTAAAAAGTAATGTGTCTGACATGTTGTTTGATGTGGTAAGTTAAAATATCATTGCAACTGCTTAGACAACATTCAGTCGAAGAATGCTACTATTTTGGAGAATTCTATGTATTTCAAATAAAATATAGCACAGATCATACTTGCTTATTCTACACAACTACTGCATCATTTGGCAACAACATGCATTAAGAAAACAATAAAAATAAATAAATCAACAAAGATCTGAAAGTTTTCAGATTTTAAATTGCATCCAAAGGGGCGATTCTTTAACATTTTGTGTGTTATCTTTACTTATTAAATATCAAGTTCTTCGCACTTAAACCAAAAAATTCAGTTCAACAGCAATATCGCAAAATAATTTTAAAATTGAGCATATCTTTATAATCTCCCATACGCAGTCTAACGAGCTGGAGATAAATTTTTTTTTTTTTTCCTGCATAACTTTGCCATCACTCGCTTTGAAATCCTTGAGTTTGTTAAACTTCGTTAAAGTCTTAAAAAATATAAAATCAATAATAAAACAAACTCCAAATTTTGGCTTTCAGATGCCCATATTTGAAGTAGGATTATGTCATTCAAAATTGGATGGCTCTACGTACCATTCTTTTATCACAATGCGGAGAAACGCACATACATTTATGCAGATTCTTCCTTATTTCATTTCTTCAAATATAACACAGGGCGGTAGTATTTGGTGGCAACGATTTGAAAAGCGATACAGCATTTTAAAGTTTTCAACGCAAAATCACAAAACAAAAACAATAGTCCTCCAGGGACAAAGCACCTTTGCATTAATAAATAAAAACCTGAAAGGTTCCAAATTTTAAACTACATCCAAAGAGGCGTTTTTAATGTTTTGCGTGTTACCTTTATTTATTAAATATCATGTTCTACATACTCAAACCATAAAATTCAGTTCAACAGCAATATCTCAAAATAATTTTTAAATGAGCGTATCTTTAGAATTTCCATTTAGCTAGAGTCTCGTGCGCTGGAGATAAAAATGTTTTTTTCGTACTGTTTTGCCATTGCGCGCTTTGAAATAGTTTAGTTTTTTAATAAAAAATTCGTTGAAGTGTTACAAAATATGAAATCGCTAATAAAACAAATTTTAAATTAGGGCCTTCCACATGCCCATATTCCAGGGTTGGCCAAACTTCATGTCAGCAAGAGCTGCATGTTTGAATTCAGGAATGTTCGAGAGGCGCATCTATGTTTTCTAAAAGCCACAAGTCATATTTACATATTATAGAAGCAGTGGATGGGGTTTTAAATAAAAGAATCCCTGATAACTTCATAAAAAGAGTCTTAACTATTAATTACTTCCTTGAACTGAATAGTTTAGTTTTACCATATTTCATCATATTTTTGTATGCACGAGCCGCACAAATGGCGCGAGAGCCATATATCAGGCTTGCGAGCCGCACTTTGGCCCACCCCGCCATATTCTATGATATATTTAAAATTTTTGATAGCTCTAGGTACCGTTGTTTTATCTAATGCGAGAAACATGAACATTCGTGCAGATTCTTATTATTTAATTTCTTTTTAAATAATACAGGGCGATAATATTTGGTGGCAACAATTTGAAAAGTGATTCGTAGTTTATAGTTTTCAATGCAAAATGCCAAAACGAAATTAATAGTCCTTCAGGGAAAATTGCCCTTTTGGACTACAAATAAAATAAACTTTCTTGCTTATTTTCTTATTAGTAATTGTTACTTTTAGAAAAGTTGCGGGTTATATTTCGGACACTCAGTTGTTACGCTGTAAGTTGGTTATTTTGATAATTTATATAACAAATTACAGAAATTTTAACCAAGCTTTACCTTTCTGCTAGCTGTTACACTGCCTGAACAATGTAATTACAATTATGTAAAGCATAATTACGTAAGAAAATGAAACTCACTGAATTTTTTCTCATAAAAATCGCATTTGAATCAATGTACATAAAAAGACTTGGGATATTTAAAATGAATTTAAACAGAACTTCATCAAACTAGTATAAGCTAGGAATATTGTTCCAAAAAGAATAAATAATTCGCCATAATTATATTTACTATCAAATTAGATTATGCTTCATAAACCCATTCAAGAATGCACTTATTATAACTTACTGTTGATGGCTAATTTTTATTTGAATTATTGCTTAAATAATGTTATTCTTTACATGTAATTATATGTAACTCAGGTTAATTAAATGCAGTACTTTTTGTTTTTGTGATTAGTTAAAAGTTTTAACTTGCCAGTTTTAATTATGTATCTGTATATCCATAGGTAAATTTGTTTAAATATCTCCAAATACTATTGTTTAATTGAATCACAAGCATTTTGCATATTTCTGAACGTTTAAAAACTAAAGGATATTTTATGAAAATGTTATCTGTTTAAAGAGATTATTGGAAAAACATGCTTACTTGCTACTTATTTATTTAGCGAAGAATGTCCACGTTTGTTTGTTGTTTATAAACCACTGTATGTTCAAGCATTTTCTTAGCGATTAAACATAGCGGTCTAAAACGAAAAAGAGCAACCCTTTTGGCCTCCTACTGAGAGTTGTCATTTAGAGATCTCCAGGGATTCAGAAATAAGGATAAGGGGGACGATGAGACATCTGCACGGCCACTTTAAGGCGGTCATAGCGTTCTTGAAGTCGTCACCACTGACCACCTAGAACCATCAGAAACACTTTTAAACACTTTTCCACTGATCACCTAGAAGCATCGGTAACACTTTTGAGGTAGGTCTTCTTGACCGCCTAAACCAGGTCATAACGCTCAGAGGGTTAATGCATTTAGCTATATTTTCCAGTTGCTGACATATTTGTAATGAAACCACACAAATACATCCAATAGTTCAAAACAATTTCAGTCTTTTGTAAAGTTGGTTTCTTAGAGAATATGACTCACTTTGAATAACAATCCTTATTTTCGTTCTCAGAAATACTGTCTGCTTTTAGAAATAATTGCCTTGAGAGGATTCATTATTCATTTCAGTCATTTATTATTGAAATATACACTGTATAGCTATAATTGTTCAGAATAAAATGTATTCAGTTATAAAGGTCATAAATTTGAGAGAAAAATAATTGTTCTGATTAACTGCAATAACCAAACAAGGAGAAAAAATTTTGCTAAACTTCTCATCCTTTTCAAATCTGAATACACAAGTAACCTTAGATGAAATGGACAAATTAATTTTATAAAATAATTAATTATGGGTGGGGTGACTCAATTTAAGGAGATAATTCTGCTATAGTAGAAGCACATCTCTTTCAAGCACATAAATCTTGTTTTTAACAGAACAGTAGTTTCTACTGATAAATATACTAAAAAAAAATTCTCAACATATTATTACATGCGAAACCAAAAAACTACATCTTTTACATTTAGAAAGTGTTGAAACAGGTTAATAATTAAGGACCTATGACTTGTTTATAACAGCTATGTACCTCAAACTGTATGAAGCTACTATAATTAAAAGTCATAAAATCAGCTGGGCTGACACAACATGCTTTGACAGTTACCCTGCTGACCTTTCACAAACCTACCAACGATTGCCAATTACAACCCAAAATTTACACACATGAAATGCAGCACAGGCATAGTTACTCAGGGCTTATACAGTAATGCTAGTTGCTAAAAAGTCATCAATCATGTAATCAAACTATATTACATACTTTTGCCACATTTTAAGGGAAATTCTAATGAAAACACGGTGCCAAAACACTTACGCATTATAATATTTAGAGTACTAATTCATAATGTGGAAAGCGATCAGACCTTACCTTTCTATTCACAGGAATATATTACCTTACACACATACACATTAAAGTCGAATTACACACACTTCACCTCATAATGAGGGCGTTCAACCCGCGAATGACCTCTCTCAGAATATTTAGTTCCTGACATACATAACTCATACGTCATTTCGAGCGATTCCACAACCATCGTTAAAGCATGCTAAAGTTGCAGTTCTTTTTAGTACATTACATATTATTACAGTTCCCGTTCATAAATAACACAAGTTAGTAAGGAAAATGAGTAAAAATTAAGAAGTCTAAATACGGTTACATGTTCCTTATATCATTGTTAATAATAACATTAAAAATTGCTTCACACAATAAAACGAAAATAAAGAAACAGAAATAAAACAAAATGATGAAAAGAATTATTACAATTTGTTCTACGTTTTACACTTATCTTACACATCGCGCACAACCAAAAGCTACTGCCACTCCAACTCGAAAATAAACTGCATTTACTACCTCTTCACTTAAGATCCTACTGCCAATTTTAACATTTTATATAATGTCGAGATTCAGGATCTGAAGTATGATTAAACTCAGAAAAACTACTAAATTAAATAGCACTAGAATTTTAGTGGGTTAAAAAATATAATTTATTATTCGAGATTATCCTTTTAAATGTAAATAGAGAGGCAGCTTGGTAGCTCTTCAAACTTAGCTCATCTCAAGGTTGTTTTATTTGTAATCTAGGACGTAAACGATGGCGGCTCTAAAAGTTATAAAATTAACTTCGGCTTTAAATGCATATCTAAGACCACCAACAGTGAGTATTTTTCTGTTTTAATTTATGTTAAATAATAGTTTATCCAAAAAACTTCTGCGACATTAAAACTTTTAATAAAATATATCGGTAGTTTCCTAAGAACATGCCGGAGTGGAGTCAAAGAAATGTGTAAATGAACTTAATTGCAAGTAGTATTTCTGTATTTTGCTGGTAAAAGTAGTATAGGGTTTACGCCAGTTTTGTATATACGTAATAAAATTCATTCTGCGATTGCATTTATAATATATTTGAAATGAAGATTAAAAGAAACCGTGTACTATGTTACTATATACTCTTTATAGTTCAAAATCGTATAATCTAACTATCATTAACACCTAACTATATTCACTTAAAAAGTTAAAGCAGCCAACAAAAAATATATAATCTGAATAAAATATATTTTAAATCAAACAATGAAATAACATAAAATAGGAAATTCATCTTAACACTACATGAAAGAAATATTCACTTACCTTATTTACGAATTTATGTGTCTTCTGTCAAACAAAAGTCCTTAACAGCATTCAAACACTTTCTAAAATTATCTGAACTAGAATCTGTGTACTATTGTCGCCACATAAATTCACAAAAATAAGAGTAAAACGTATCCTCCGTTTGAAAATATCCAATGTTCGGCCATATGCATTTCCTTCCTCCAAACAGGACACTTTATATTGGCTACTAAGTTCATTGGCTACTTCATTTACGGACCAGTCAATTAATGCTTTTTTCTCTTTCGTTCCAAATCCTACAGAAACTTCAAATTAATCTTACCACATTCAGCCAATTTACCGTGTAAACCACAAAATAATAACGCACTTATCCAACACACACAAGCCCTTACCCAAAATCCAACACACTCTTTCCAAATTTTTTCCCATGATTCAAATTCACCACAACCAATTAGTCATAATAGGGTTTCCATAGCATTCAACTACTTAGGTTGTCACAAATGAGACAACAACTTGGCGATAATACAAGGGATATCCTAAAGTCAACTTTAACCAAAATTACAAACTAAACATTATGAACTTCACACAATTACTTTGCATTTTTATTTGAGGCCAAATATGCAATGAATTTCATTCAATATTTATTGATTTGAAAATATTTAATTAAGCTACGAGAGAATTTGCAATACCTGAAAAACTTCCCCTCAGCAGTTTACTGTTGTGAGTACGGATGTGGCAATCCCAAGGTACCCTAGCCCTTCAGGGGATCACCTTGGTGAGATGGGCGTTATGACCCTGTTAGCCCCAGTGATCTGTCTCACTTTCCTTTTCTCCTTTTCTTGTCTTCTGCTTTTCCTTTTCTTTCTCCCTTTGTGGTTTTCATCTTGGAGGTTGGGGCTTCAGATGAGAGACTGTTACATCTCTTTGTTTCAGCTCCTCACTGAGAGTAAACTGCCCTCGTGTTTGGCATGTGTGGAGACCCGTAAGGTTGGAAAGAAGGGTCCTGGTAGTTGAGGGGCGTGTTACTGTCCACAACACACTGCTTTAGCCTCTGCTTCAATTTAAACGGGTAGTACATACTGGCCCCGTATGTATCAATCGGCTGGTCAAGTTTGTTTTTGGCTTGGGGTTAAGCAATTGGAGCATCTGCCGAATGCCTCGTTAAGAGTAGAGGTCGGTTCCAGAGATGCTCTGTGAGCATATAGACATGACTAGTATTGGTGCAGGCATCTGCATCCCCTTGTTGGACTCGATGGTGAGTGGTAAAGTCATGTCTAAAAAATATTCTTTCTATATAATGACTTCTTCAAATAATTGTATTCCTCAAACCAACCTTGGTCAGATTATGATAATTTATAAATCAACAGGTCAATAAGAAAGTGTACATGCTCTCACAGACAGAAGAACTGTTGAATCAATTGGTAAAACGCAGAAGGAAACCACTAATAATTCCGAGTTGCGATCTACTGAAAACTACAGATTCTTTGTTATCAATAACGTAAATAACGAACTGCAGAAAATGTCACCTTTTTATATAAACAAATTCGTAACATCAGCAATAGGCGAACCAAATACATTAAGAAGCTTAGATCTGGTGATCTACTTATAGATACCATATCTCCCAAACAGACAGCTTCACTTTGCAAGTTAACAAGACTAGGAAACATGCAAATAAAAGACTCTCCTCATAAGACATTAAACTTCTCCCGTGGTGTCATTTCAGAATCAAGACCTAATAGTTGTTACAGAGGATGAAATGATTGCTGAACTGAAAAACCAAGATGTGTGCGGAGTGCGAAGAATTAAGGTACGCCGAGATGAACAACTTGTAAACATGAGACGTATTATATTAACATTTAACACTTCAGTTCTTCTCAAATCTATCAAAGCTGGATATCTGAATTGTCCAGCCCGACCACATATACCCAATCCAATGCATTGTTTCCAATGTCAACGATATGGACATTCTAAATTCTCCTGTCGTGGCAATCTCACATGTGTCATATGCTCAGAGGTGGGCCATGACAGTGAAGGCTGCATAAAAGCACCGCTTTACATCAACTGTCAAGGAGAGCACCCAGCATATTCTAGATCTTGTAAGAAATGGAAAAGAGAAAAAGAAGTGCCAAATATAAAGGTCACCAGAAACATACCCTATGCAGAAGCAAAGAAGATAGCTCTCAGCCTCGACCCAACTTTTCGTATGCGAATGCCTGTAAAGCTTTTCGATCAATCGGAACTCAAACATTACCTACTCTTCAACCTGAAAAAACTTGACGAAAAATCTAAAGAAAACCTGAAGAAAAGTCAAAGAGTAACCAAGCAGACAAAAGCGAAGTCATAAAAAAACGGATCGGCCTGAGCATAGGACTACAAAGAAAAAACAAAAAGTAATACAGGACCAATCAAAATCCAGAAGGCCAAGCAACAGCTCAGTGAACAGCATCTGTGCGGATACGATAGATTCAGAGATGGAAACAGATGAAGGCCTCAACCTTCCGAAACATCTGCTTCCATGCTTAACTAAGAATCAGCATCTAAAAAATAAGTCTCCGTGATGGCCACCCTCATTTCTTGGAACTGTTGAGGTTATCACCAAAGTCTTGTACATATCAGAGATCTGATTGATATTCATAATCCTGTGTGTGTCGCACTACAGGAAACTCTGCTCAGGTCAAACACTTCAACTAAACTTCGGAGGTATAGTGTCGCCAGGAAAGATAATGTGCCTACGAAGGTTGCATGTGGAGGTGTGCCCTCTTGAATTCAAATAACTATCCAGCTTCAATACTGCCTTTAGCCACACATCTCCAAGTGATAGCAATTCAAATAAATATAACAACATTATTCTCAGTCTGTTCGTTATATCTACCTCCAAATAGACACATTGATCAGCAGGACATAGATGACTTCATAGAGCAACTACCTGCTCCCTTCATTATTCTCGGTGACGTCAGTGGTCACAATCGTCTTTGGGGAAGCGGCAATATTAATTGATGCGGAAGACAGATAGAGCGTATGATTGATAATTACTGCCCCTGCCTTCTAAATAACGAGGAGAAAACATATTTTCATCAACCTTCAAGGACCTTCCATGTTTTGGATCTCGCCATTTGTTCTCCTTCACTTCTGCCTTTTTTGTCTCTTAATGTCGGAAGTGATCCTTTTAATAGTGACCATTTTTCAGTTTTTTTGTCTTTTAGAGGATTTAATATTAACCCCATTTTTAGACCTGCACGTTTTCTGTTACATCGGGCAGATTGGGATCGGTTTGCTTCCCATGCACTGTTATCGGAAGATATGGTAAATATGATGCCTATAGATAAAGCAGTGGACACCATCACTCTTAAGATCCTTGAAGCGGTGGGGAACTTTCGGTGCCAAAATCATCAACAAAGGTTCCCAAATACCCTAAACCCTGGTGGAACCGTGAATGTCAGAAGACTCAAAGGTAGCAAAGAAAAGCCTGGGGTATCTTTCGACGGTACCCTACCTTATCCAATCTTTTCGCTTTCAAAAGAGCCAGAGCTAAAGCTAGAAATGTGCAGAGACAAAGTCAAAGGGATTCTTGATGATCTTATGTAGCATCTATTACATCATCTATGCCTGGCAAAAAACGTGTGGGAAAGGGGTCCGAAAAGCATCAGGTTTATACAAGAATTACTCAGTTCCAATTTTGCATGCAAATGGCCAAGTGATAACTTGCAGAGAAGAAATCGCTAACACTCTTTGAGAAGCTTTTGCCAATGTATTAAGTAGTAGTGATTATTCCGCAGAATTTCTCTCCTACAAGCATCATATGGAAGATAAACGAATTGTATTTAACACTTCCAACCTGGAAGTTTATAATACCGATTTTACGATGCTTGAATTGAGGAGAGTGGTGTTCAAAACTCGCAAAACAAGTCCAGGCACTGATGGCATAAATTACGAGATGATAAAACATCTCTCTTCTAAATCATAGCTGCCCTCCTTGCACTATATAATAGAATATGGAAGGAATTGGTTTTCCCAGATGCATGGTGGAGAGCTAGATTAATCCCTATAGCAAAACCAGGGAAAGATCCTAGGAATCTCTTTGACTGTCGTCCCATTGCTCTGACCAGCTGTATATGCAAAGTACTTGAAAAGATGGTGAACTACCGCTTATTCCACTATTTAGAAGAAAATTGTCTATTATCGCCATATCGGAGCGGTTTCCGAAAAGGAAGATCAACTACAGATAATATTGTGACTCTTGAAACAGCTATACGAAATGCTTTTGTGTAAAGAAACCACTTAGTGTCCATATTCTTTGATATGGAGAAAGCATATGATAGAACATGGAGATATGGAATATTTCGTGATCTATATGACACTGGATTGCTCGGACGGTTACCACTTTTCGTGCAGAACTTTTTAATGGATAGACGTTTCCAAGTGCAGACAGGCTCTTTGCTGTCAAAGGAGTTTATCCAAGAGGAAGGTGTCCCCCAAGGGTGCTTATTGAGTGTCACTCTTTTTAATTTAAAAATTAATTCTATTCTTAATGAACTTCCAAAACCAGTT